CTTGATATCATACTTAATCACGATATTATTTATTGATAAAATTAAATTCCTTACAATTTACCTTACAATATCCATAAAATTAAATCATGACAATGACTGACAAACACTAATGTGAACAATGGCCTTGCATCTCATTGGAAAGTTTGGGTAAGTCAGGTTTGTATGTTGTTGCCCGCACGTGGTATTTTGTGGAAGAGCCACACTCAAGGGGCCAAAGAGCCGCATGTGGCTCCTGAGCCACGGGTTGCCAACCACTACGTTAGACCATTGGGACAGGAGTAGGTAAAAAAATGCAAATATTCACCCTGTGAATATCAAAGCCCAAACTCAGCCTTCTGGGGGACTTCTCGCATTTCTATTCGTTACTGTTGATCTTGGTTTCCAGCCCTGTGTGACCTCATCTTATTTCCTTTGCATCTGCAAAGGGCCTCTTTGCAAATCAGTTCCCATTCAAGGGCCTGGGGGTTAGGATTGCAACGTATCTTTGGGAGGGGACACAGTTCACCTTGTAAGAGCACCCCAGTGAGCCAAAGCGGGTGTTTACTTGTAGGACGCGGTGACCTTCAAGGATGTGGCATTGAACTTCACCAAGGAGGAGTGGACCCTGCTGGCCCCGGAGCAGAGGGCCCTCTACCGAGATGTGATGCTGGAGAACATCCGGAACCTGGCCTCCGTAGGTAAGGGCTCCGTCCTGCGCCCGGAGGGGAGCCAGGCCCTCCTGTGGTCAGGAGGCAGCTGGCATGGGACCCGGCTTGTTACGGTCCAGAGACACGGCTGCTGCTGGTAGACGAGGGTTTCCCCCGTGGAACTGGACATCTTGTCAGCGGTGATCAGGGTGGGGGTCTGCGGCCGGAGACCCTGCTCTGCGTCCGCAGTCCTTGTCTTCTCGTGGGAATGAATTCAAACAAGAGATAAATGGCAGCAAAAGCCGGTGAGAATTTATTAGTGGAAAAGGAATGCACTCAGAGATCGCCTGAGTGGGGAAACTGAGCCAGCCAAAAGCAAACCTGGGGGCCCGCTGACCGGGAATCGAACCTGAGACCCTTCTGTTCGCAGGCAATGCTCTAACCACTTAGCAACACAGCCAGGGCTGAAATCAATTTTTTTAAAATATATTTTTATTGATTTCAGAGAGGAAGGGAGAGGGAGAGAGAGATAGAAGCATCAATGATGAGAGAGAATCATTGATTGGCTGCCTCCTGCACGCCCCCCACTGAGGATCAAGCCCGAAACCTGGGCATATGCCTTAACCGGGAATCGAACTGGTGACCTCTTGGTTCCTAGGTCGACGCTCTACCGCTGAGCTACACCCTGCTGGGCTGAAATCAATTTTTAAAAAAATATATTTTATTGATT